GAAAATCCGTGCGCAACTCCATGAGACTCTGGTGGTGATCACGAAGAGTATGATGGACCTGATCGACAGAGTGCTGAAGCTGTAAGTACTCCTCGCGAGTCATGTAGAGTGGGTCCCCTTGGGGAGGCACAGGGGGAACAGGATGAGCCGGATGGTCATGGACGGGGTCCTGGGCCTCCTCAACCGGGGCACCCACCGGCTGTGGGATGCGAGATATGCTGTGCTGCTCTGCCAAATTCTGTCTTTTTGCTCATTTTATGCTCCGACGATGTACAACCTGATTGACATTCAACACACATAAAATATACAGTTTGACCAGCAAGTGAAGTTAAGAGATTCTAATTAATTGTCTTAACCAAGTACATTTCGGCCTTAATCACATCCCCCAACTTACTACTTGCTAGTCCTCAAGCAAGTAAAATAAGATAAAATTAAACAAAATCTATCTATTTCCTCTTTCGTGGGACAACGGTTGCATTTAGCATATGCAACAAGCCTTTAAACCACAAGGTTACCCCAAGTGGACGAGTAAAGTCTCGTGAGGGTTTCCAGAAATGATACCCACAAACATTAACATATTTATATATACTCAACAACAAATGACCACATTACTCCACCTAACAATCAACTTATGTGCCACTACAGTGTGATATTTAGACATCATGAGTCATTAAAGGCACAGTGGACAAGCATGAAGGAACCTATTGAGTCAAAACCACAATTCAGTTAATACAAAAGTAAAGTTCACTATACTTGTGCATGCTAGTAGTCAAGTCATGAGTACCCTCGGTGTAAAGTGCAATCTCCATATTAGTTAACTATCCACTATAATAACCCAGTGTAACTCATAATAACACCCATCATATACAGAAAGACTAACCTGTTGCAGCCAAGATTTTCAAAAGTTGTTTTTTATTTTATTTTATTTTATTTTTTTTAAATGACTGTGTAATGTCCTGATCCATCAAGCTTTCTAATCAACCCATGTAACAAGCATTGGGCCAATGACTTCTAAACCAGACGGTTTTAGGGCACTAGGTGTAAAGACACCCCTACGGGCTTAATAACTCGAGTTGAAAAGGCTACGAATGCGAACAAGTCATTC